CCAAGCACGCACCGGCCGAGCCGCTTCCGCCGAAACTTACTTGGCCGGGAGCAGTAGAGCGTTTCTCCCGGCCTCGCGGCGGTGATCATCCCCTCCGTGAAAGGGGCGCCGAATCACTTGCAGACGACTTGGGTGTGGATCGGGGTGTCGTACTTAGCAGAGCAGCCGCTTCGCTGCGATCTATTGAAAGTAAGCCTCAAAGACCCGTTGGATTCGCCCGCGACCAAGACGGGCGAGTCTTTTTTTAATTATAAAAATTAATTAATTAATATACACTGACAATTCACTTAGCAAAAAGCAACATCAAAAATCTCACCTTAGAAATATTTACCACAATGAGGTTGAAATAACTATTTATTCATGAAATTGTACAGTTTTGGTAGGAAATAAAATATAAAAAGTAATTTGCCAGATTTGGCAAAAGATTGTGGTGAAAAATCAACAGGAAATGAAACGGAGATGGTACACAACTGTAAAACTGGTGTCTGGTTGGTTGACATTACAGTAATTCTGACTGGTCATTATTTAAACAGACACTGTCAAAATTTAATGGTTTTAAATGATTAAAGATCCTAAACTAAAACACAGTATACCTTAGTTTGATTGTGCAATGAACAAAAATAGTGCTTTGACATGGTAACTGACTTTCATGACTTTTACTAGACGCCCACTGAATGGGGCTCTTGTGTGTTAATTAACTGCCAACTATGCAAATTAATTGAGCTGATTAATTCAAAACTAATTCAAGAGAGTTGGCAGAGCATAACATAAAGAACATAAATTATGTAGCTTGGTATACCATCTGTATTTGCTCTAGCCCAGGCAAGCTTCAATAGAAGAGCATATAAACCAAAAATTGCTTTACATTGTATACTAAATCATTGAAATATGTCTGACACATCTGTATCATTTACATAAGGGCATGTGCTCCTAATAGAGCAAATACGGTAGGGTGTACAGACGAAGTTGAGCAAAGTAAAATCATTATGTATTTCTTTGATTGATACAGAAATTAGTTTTCTTGCCCTGTAAATACATTACTGATTTTAAGAGAAAATTGCCTTCAAATTATCAAGATGCAGCTGTGATTTTAGCCAGATAGGGCATACTAATATTTGAATTAAAATGTCAAAAACCATGGTAATCACTAGAAACATAAAGTATATCTTAACCAAAATAGAAAAGTCATACTTACATTATAAAAATCTCCTTTGAACCTATCTGTGTTGAGCACAGGTAATCTGTGACAAAGGCTGTATGCTTCTCGAAGTATTTCATGATTTCGTGGCAGTTCACCGGCCTCAACTGCTTTAATGTATTCAAGTATCACTTTAACTCTGTTGTGAAGCATTTTTATGGAGCTGTACTGCGCAATGAGATGTTCAGCAACTGTAATATAAAACAGGCAAAACTATTTCAAGACTTGCCCTGGATTGTTTATAGAGAAATTCTTTCTACAATATTTGCTCTAATGGAAGTGAACATAAAACACAGG